ACCCCCAAAAGCCCCCCCCCCCCCCCCCTCCTAGCCTTCCCGTCAAATATATCCTTGCCATAACCACATGCGCCAGGAAAATCTTGGAAAAACCAATTCACATCCCTGGCCCATTGAAAGAGTAAGAGAAGCCGACCGCCCGTGTCACGAAATCCCAATTCTTGGCGGAACCCCCCCCTCTCTTACGATATGGTGTCACGGCTCTCAGAGGCAGAAAGAGCCTCGCCCACAACACGTGCTCTCCTGCCTTGCCTTGCCTTGTCTCGCCTAACCAACCTTGAATGCATACCTCGCCTCGCCTGGGCTGAATCACGCAGGCTGCGGCTGCGTCACACATCCAGGCCGAGATCCAAACTTCCTACGTAGAAGCCATGGAAGCCTAGGCGGGTGGTGAACCCGCTGTAGCGCCAACCCCCAGCCAAGAAACCGCAGCCCGGCGCGGCAGAAGCCCAATGCCGGATGCCAATGCCGCCATCTTCAACGGGAACCATTTCCATTCCACAGCAGCGCTCTAGGTATCGACACACTAAAAGCCAAGGTATGAAACGGGGCGGGCGCGCGGATCGGAATAGATCATAGATCAAAGTCGGGTTTGGATAAAATAATGGGGGATGGATAGTGGACTACCAACAAAACTCCACTTTTGAGATGCACCGCACCGTCAACTTGCATCAACCTCACCGACATTGAGGCAATTCTATCATGAAGGCATGGCCATGGTGGTACGATTCCCTTGCTTCTTTGAAGCTGTATCCGCTTAGTATGAGCTCGATGACTATATTAGGATAACTTGGGAATATCGATAGGTGCATGTTCACATTGCATATTGTTGGGGACAGTATTGAACGTTTCAAACTTTGGTAAATTTGCTTTCTAAATCCTGCGGACATGGCTTCTCAAGCTCGCGGTCCGGATGTCTCCATCTACGTCCTCTCCTCAGAGGGACAAGAGAAACAAAAAGTTCTCTTTGAGAAAAATAAGTAAATAAAAAAAAACTTCTTCAATCGTCAACTCCATTTCGGCCAGATGGAAAGCGTATCTGGTGCCTTTCATCGCTCATGCAAAAAAGACTCGAAGATGCAACACAACCCAGCGTACACGTGTGGAAGTCCCCGAAACGCCCCTTCCAGAAGAACCTCGGCGCGATGGTGAGCCATTGCTGTCCCTTGGCTTCGAACCTCGATCGCCGGCTTCCTCTCCCTTCTGCCTCGTGTCGTGCGAGGCAGATTTGTTTATAAAAGTGACCAGGCAAGCCCTGCCTATTCCATGGTTGCGCCTGTTACCGCCGACATCCAGCGGATGTCCAACGCGCGATATTTTTCGACAAAGGAAATGAAGCGAAGTAAATGAGGTGGTGATAGATACATTTCGAGCCCCGTTGCCTGATGAGATCGACGCGACATCCAGAGTGTGATGACGATCAGATGTGTACGGCCGTCTGAAGAGTGGTACCGAGTTGATATATAGGAACGGAGCGCCGGTCTATGATGCCGTTGTTTTTTGTTTTCAATGTATCGGATTTAGGTAGATTAGACATAGAAAATATTATCATTGCCTTGATTGGTGCTGCACATTTGCGCAAAAAGCCGCTCATCATGGCGGGTGAGCGGCGACGACCTCGGGGCCATGGAGGTGGGGAGTTCTGGCATCCACTGGGTATCTTGAAAAAAGTAGCAGATATTGCCAGCCCGCAAAAGAAGTGGCCTCGGGTCGGCAGGAGGTTGTGTGGCAGGTATGCCATCGTGTGAGTTAAATCGTGGTCGCAAAGCTTGCGCTCATGCTTCAAGGCAGGTCGCGGCGGCGGCTCGGGTCGTGCGGGGGGAACTGGTGATGCCTTGCGTTTGCGTTGGCCTGTGCCGCGAGGTACTCCGCGGATCCAGTCTGGCGACCGGGCTGCTCAGCAGGCAACTTGGTGTCGTCGCGTCGTTGAGGAGCTGCTTGACGGGGAGGGGGTGCGCTGCTCGCCGAAGGGCTGGGCATTCCAGGAACGAGGTCGGTGACGGCCTGGGCAATAGACTTGATGACATATCCCCGAAGCTCGCGGTCCTCGCGGCTATCCTCCTTCTCGAGTCTGAACTTTTCATCCTTGTTCATGTTGCCGCGACGCAGGCCTCTAATCTCGTTCAGGATGTAGAGCAGGACCTCTTCGGGACATCTGTTGCGCTCTGCACAGAAATCGCTCTTGCGTACGTATCGGCGGGTGACATCGGTGGCGCCATCGATAGAGAAAGCGATGCAGTAGGACATCTTCTTACCCCAGCCCTCGGTGTAAAGGCGCGGGTTGTCCCATGCCTCCTCACAGGCGTCGACGTGGACCCATCGCTTCTGGTGCTCGGAGTACACCTCAGTCCAGACGTGGTCCTCTGCGTTCCAGATCCAACGAACTCTGCCTCCCATGGCACGGCAAAGCATGCTGAAGCAGTTCGCCCACTCTCCAACACGTCCTCTGCGGGTATGCAGTAGTCTCCAAACATCGCCGTACCTGGGGAATCTTTCGTAAGCGCCGCAGTCTCCGGCTGAGCATTTGTAGAGCTCGACTCGAAGGGCACCGCATGCACTCTCGTCGGGCGTCGGGGGCGTCATGCCTTGGGCGATTGTGGGCGAAAGGCATACAGGGCACGGGGGGTTGTTGACCCAGGTGAAGAATGATCGCTTGAACCATCTGAATCGACAATTAGACTGTGTTCAAAGAATCCAAATGGAAACATCCAGCTTACCTCAGTAGTGCGCGGATAACGCAATCTTGGTAGCCCCAAGTGGCTTTGCGTCCATCTCCCATACTCTCAGCCTCGGCCTGCATCACTTGGCACTCCTCTTCCGCCTCGCCGTATATCCGGTCGAGGGGTATGCACTGCAGAGCCTCGTCCAACAAACCAGGGTTTTCGTACTTTGTCGGAGTGAGAGAGAGACTGATCATCAGGTTGCGGAATTTTTGTGAATCGCGGTCGTGGGCGGCGGGTGGTGTGGGAATCTTGGGAAGGTGGCGAGAGTAAGCAGGTGGTGTCGGCGGCATTGGTGTTGAGCTGTGTGAAGTTGAAGGTCGACCGGGACCGGGTGATGCGAGACCACGGAGGTTGGCACTGCTTGCGCTCTCTCTGGGTTGAGGAGTGCCTTGGCGAGAGGTAGTTCGAAGTTCGGTCATACGCTTGTCACGAAGAAGTGACTCGAACTTTACCCTTAGGTCGCGAGCCCACTCTTCGCCGTACTCTCCATCGCCGTTCGGGGGGCCTTCGCCCGGGGGGTAACCGTGGCCGTCCATCTCAAAGTCGTCGGTGGTTAAGTGGATGCTAATGTTGAGAGTGTCGAAGAAGGGAGGAGAAGAAACGGATAGAGAGTCTTCGACGGAACTCTCCCGGTGGTCGTCGGGTAGTTGAATCGTATTGGTGTCAGATCAGGTCGGCGAGATGGGTTGACTTAAAGAGTGGAAGTCGTCGTCGTCGAAATTGTTAGTCGTCGAAGGCTGCGCAACTGCTGTGTCTTCCAGTCGGGCTTGGAGCTGCCTATGGTGTTGTTCCCAAAGCCGGGTTGCTTCTCGTCTGCTAGTTGGAAGAGTCGAGGCTCGGCACTGTCGAGAGTTCCTGAGCCAAGAGTTTCTAGCTTGGACTTCCGGGTCGGTCGGGAGTATTTCAGGCGTCGGTCATGAGGGTGAATGCGAGTCCCAGCGAAGCGATCGTGGCCGCTACGGGAGAGTATTTGTTGGTTCGCAAGATTCCGTGCCTTGTCGTCGGTAGAAATCGAGAATCGAATTTCAGAAGGCGAGTGAAGTGCGGTGTCGAGAAGGAAGGGATGGGATGGGGGGGATGGGGGTGTTGAAAGGGTTGGTAGCGGGCGGAGAGGAGGGTGCGATTGGGGAGTGGGCCGCCAGGGGAATTGATGGGAGCAAAAGAGCGGACGTAACGTACGCCAGCGGTATCCGTAAGGTAGCGAGCAAGCGTACGTAGGTAGGTAGAGGTGGGAGAGAAGTTGCGTTGCGTTGCGTTGCGTGTGCTGCGTCTGCGTAAGGCGTAAGGTGGAAGAGAGGAGTGAGGAGTGAGAGAGAGGCAAGGGAAGTGGAAGGGGTCAAGGTCCAGGTCCAGGGGGGGAGGGGTGTGTATTCAGAAGAGTAGACTTTTGGACACGCAAAGGTGACAGAAAAAGAGGCAGAGAATGGTAGCGAGAAAGGAAGAGATGTGAGTGTGTGAGGCAGAGAGAGAGAGAGAGAGCGAGACTGTGAGAGAGGCACAGAACAGAGGGGGGAGTGTACGGTGGGAGCGGGAGGAGTGCGAAAAGCAACAGAAAGCGTACGCACGCCGCTCTCTGGCTGGCTCCTCATGGGCGGTTTACGCGTAAGCTGTGCAACTCGGGCCAATGGCAGGGGCCAGATCGCTCCAGAGTGGATCCCGCTCAATCCGCCCCGGCACGTACCACGACTCCGTCTTTTCTGTCCCAAGTGAGCAAGAGCAATCCAGAGACTGAGGGCAGTGTGCCTTCCCTCTCTCCTTCCTGTCTGCACCTCGTGGATGTACTGTACCTCGTGACATGTATCTTTTCTAACCCTTGTATCTAAGTACCGTATCCATCTTACCTAAGGGATCACGAGTCTCGTGAGCCAATCACAGCCATCTCACTCCTTGCTCTTTTCTCCATTTTGGCGGATTCTCTCGCTCACGTACTCCCGTACTCCCGTCCCCCCCCCGCCACTGGCCAACGACAACACTCAATCATCAGTCAGACGGCTCTCTTTCTCTCCAGACTCCCAGTCACCGTGTCCTATGGCTTCACCCTCGACAAGCACCTGGTCCGGCTACTAGTGACGAATCCTGAATAGAGCCGGTCTACCTTACGTACTGCCCTGTCGCCGTCGCGAGCTTACCTATCCAACGTCCTCCCGTCCTCCTCCCACATACCTTTCTCGCGCCAAGCCCTTCTTGGGCTGTTCAGAGGGGCACAATTTCGAGCTGCGACTCTTTTGCGGTCCTTTCACATCCTTTGCTCTCGTTTGTGCCAAGGCTTGCGTTGCTCTAGCCTCGACGGAGTGCCCTCTGCAGGCAACAATTTCGAGAAAAAGCCAGGCAACGGCGACGCAATCCTCCCCGGTGACGACGGCCGAACGGTCCCTGGGGGCGGAGAAGCCCCCCTTCCGTATCCAACCTACGCAATATACCGACTTGAACTCTGGAGACGCTGAAATTACACTCACGGTTTGCTGGTGACGATTTACGATAGTTTACCTGCTCGTAACTCAATTGCGAATCCGAGCGAGGCTGACGACCTGCGACGACGATGGCAATATTGTTTCTTCTTCTTGGCACCCGTTCTACGGGTTGTGGGCGAGAGAGGTTCATCAGATGGACATGATGAAGCGGAAACAAGCAAAGAAACAAACACCAACCTGAGAACACCCACAGTCTGCTGTCCACAGCAGCTCCATGAATGCAAACCAAACATTGGAGATTACTAGTAGGGTACGAATACATACGACAAGCACGTTGTAAGTGCGGACCAGATTTTCACCGAATTCCCATCCGCATCCGCGAATACCATCACTTACACTCGGATACAGTACTCCCAGCTAGTCCATTCACCTCGAGAATGCAGACCACACCACACGGCAACGAGGACGGACATTCAAAGGGGACAAGCCTCACTGTCGCACCCGATGTACCGGTACCTCTCGCTTGTACCTAATTAAAGGTTCTGTCACTGGCCAGCGCCAGATCCCACCTCTCAACCTTAGTCGAGTGGGCACCGCATCCCTCCCCTCCGTGCCCTCCACTCCTCCAATTCCTCGCTCTTACGGTTCACCCTGGCACTCTTGGAGAGGGACGACAGAGGCGTGAGGTCTAAGGAGTACCTCTCACACACACCCGCCCACACACTTTTCTCACTCTGACGGGTCTCTGGCAGCCCCAAACTGTGATGACGAGGCGTGGCTGAGGTCTATTTCCAGTATCTGCCCCAGACCAATCTGGGCTGCCCGCCAAGACTTTTACGCAAGTGTCGGCGGAAACAAGACCCCAGATTGGTCCCCCTCGTCCCAGATCTGTGGCTCAGCCGGCTCCCCAAAGCCTCAAAGCCTCACTCTCAGCACCGCTTTCTTGTTGATTGCCCGCCGCAGCACAAATCACCTGTGGCAGTGGTAGTGGGCAGCCAGCAGCAACCAGCAGCAGCAGCAAACCATAGTCTACCTAGTACACTATAGACACTTACTACACGCACGGCGCCGCTCTGTTCCCCCCTCCCAGGCACCTCTTTAGGCACTCTGAGACAGCAAGACTCGACGCTCTCTTCCGTCTGTAACTGAACCAGAACCTTGGGGAGGGAAGAGGCCCACGGAAGGCGGCAGCTCCGGCGCCAGGCGGCTGCCGGCCGTGGATGATTACGACGACGATGAGCACTTGCTGCCATCCGTGCCAGTTGTCGACACTTTCAGCATCTACATCCGTACATAGTATCCGTACTAGGTATTGATTTCTCGCCAGCCTACGCGGAGGAGCCGGGGATGCGTCGATGAAGCAGGACTTACATGCTACGACTCTAATTGTACAACCTATCCGAGTCCCGAGCAATGGAGGACCCATAATGTCATGAGAGATCGATCATGTCACAAAGGACCGGTACAACACGGTTGAGAAAGGATGGCGATGACAGTGGCCGACTGTCACTCTAATTTTCCACTTTGCGCTCTCGCGCCCGGCAACTACGTCCAGAAACAGCATCCTTCGTCGCCAATCACTCGCCAGTCCACCTCATCATCTTCGCCGCTGCACATCATTACCCTCATTGCGCACTAACCAATCTCCCATATGCACCTCAGAGGCCAAAAAGTTCTTTGATGGGGTTAATCAAATCAACCACGCCGCCACGACCCTCCCGCTCACGGTCTTTTTGCAAAGACATGCTAAATTGCCCGACAGGCAGCGCGACATTTGCATCCGTCCACGAGGATTCGCCATGTGAGACCAGCTCCGACCATCAAACCAACGGTCACTTCAGACTGGCGCCAACCGCCAAACCTGTACTTAGTATCCCGTGATAAGGGGAGTTTGCTCCAGTATCGCCTAGTTGCACAGTAATGCCAATTTCTTACTGGAGGACTGGTTCGTCGCCGGCTGTGGCACACCATCTCGCCTCGCTCCTTTCGCGTCTCTCTCGGCCTTCTGGACCCCTAAAACTTTGTCTCGAGAACCTGGGCAGCCAGGTTGTCCTTATGGGTGAACCGACCTGGTCCCGTTTCGTCGTCGTCCTTGACCTCAAATTCTCGCCTGTGGCTAGTGTCATCCAGAAACCCCCCAGGCCCCCCCACCCATGGCGACGACGACTCAATTCCAGCAAAACCAGAAAAAGCTTCAACAGAGTGCGGCACCTTTAATTCGTACTCTCTTTTCTTCCACCCAAGCTCCCATTGGTCTTTAGCTCCCATCGGCAAAGGCGCCGCAGGGGCTTGACGACTATCTGCACTCTATTTCAGTCAGGTACGCGCTCGAGAAGTCGGATGTATTTGGGTCCTCCCAGTTGTCAGAAACACCCCGGCCTCAAGGTTCTGCCCCATTCGCCTCCCACTCAGCCTCGTTTTCCCCTCCTGGTCCCGGTCTCTACGAAGGGCACTTCGCCTATCCAATTTAGCTGGCCACGTTTCCCCCGATCCCCGCATGTGGTTCCTGTTCTCACGGACTCGACTCGTACGAATTGTGCATGGCGGAGGCAAGGTGGTTGGCCTGATGAACGACTGTAGCCTCGTCTGTAGGCGGCAAGCCGTATTACCTTATCGACACCCGTCTTTCGGACAAACTTCATAGGCGACAACCTCTTGGAGCTTCTTCGGCGGGCCAGGTCTTCCCGAAATCTTCTAGCGGCCGCCCTGAACCATGATTGATAGACTCTCCAATCCTAAGAGATCCTCGCCCGATCCAGGTCTGATCCCACGTCAAATCCTCCTGTCTGTTACGTGTGCTTGCGTAAACAGGTGGGCTCGTCAATCGTTCTCGCAAACTCAAATGTTCACAGGCCTGCAGCGGTACAGACTGCTGCTATCGTCTGCGGCATGCCAACGTCTCGCCCCTTTAACTCGACTCGCACAGGCTGGACGAATTGATTGACTTTGATGAGACGAACCAAGCAAGTTGGTATTCCTCAGACGGCATCTTGATGAAGACAATCATCCTCAGGCAGATGGATGACGAGTCAACGGGCGACGTGCTAGAGCAGAAGCCCAAATGGCGTCCGTGACTCCGTACGCCGCAAATTGTACCCGCCCGGCGCCATCAAGCCCGATTCTTACCATTCTGGCCATGCTCGAATCTTGGCGACCTCTCCGGCTGGGCATATTGATACTATCGCCAACAGCAGCAAGGATATCGATATCTGTTGCGGTTTGCGTCCCAACGATTCCAAATCTCACGGTCGTCCTTCTTGGGGACCCGTTCTCCAGGTTAAACTCCCCAGAGCCTGGAACAGAGGACCTGATCGACATCCACGATGGCTTTCTTTGGCACACAACTTCTGGGTGCGTGCCCGATGCGGCGACCCCCCCCTTGACCCTGGGGGCGTGGGCCTTAGCGGCTCAGTGACGCGTCATCCACCTTGTCTCACATCGGCGCTCCAATGGTGGCTTGCGTGTTGTTCCCAAACCCGTTGCCACCCCACATCAGACTGCACTCCTTTCGTCTGCCACAACTTCCCACAAGGTCGTAGACAAGCGACTCTGCAATTCTCCATAATGCCTTATTCACAAATTAGAGAGCAAAACACCAGAGCTTCCAGCGAGGGGTGGGCACGGAAACACCTCATTACCTACTGGGCTGCCACTTTACCTACAGGTGCCAAAGCTTCCTGGGGCTCAGGAAACCTCTCATTCCATCAGTCCACATCGGCTTTCGGCAGAGTTGCCAAGGGGGCTTGCATCGTGACCAGCCAATTACACTTCTCCCACCTCCCGTCTGCAGAGTTCGGACCTTTCATATTTTCGTTCGGGCTGGTTGGTGTTTTGAGGAATTGAATGTGTGCGGAATGCTTTTAGTTGCTCAGATGGTCGACCTCTCTTCAAGACATGAAGACATGGAAACGAAACGTCTCAGTGGAAACACCCAGTTGGATAGGCTGTTGTAACGTGCCGCCAGCGGGAAGGTTGCACGATGAAGGCATTTCATTCCATAATGGGACGAACGAGTGCTAACGACATCGAAAGTCTCTTATGGCCCTCCCGACCCTGTGAAGACATAGGCATCGAGTTGTACCTGGTCGAGAGTCGGCATAACCCGATGGAACCGGGGACCTGATTGGATCGTCCTCATCCCGACTGAGAGAGCCGGACTCCGATTTACGCGAACTTCAAAATGAGAAGGGCTACGAATCCCTCTTCCTAGCATCCTGCCCATCAACCCGGCCTTGTCACGAGTGTGCAAGATCGCGACTCATGCTCTCACAAGACGTGTGGTTTACTTCCAGCACTCTCAGTTCCAGCACATTCAAATCATATTGGACTCCGCCCCGGGCTGCGTATTCGATCGTCCTCTTGGCCCCCATTTTGCCCCTTCCCTTGACCTGTGAAACCGGGTTGGCCATGATCCCAAATGTCGAGATGACGAACCATTGATTCGTCCAAGGTTTCGTGCCTCTGAATATTCGTTGCCTTTTCGTTTCCCCTTCACCGCTGCCCGCAGGCGCCCCGCCCCCAAGTTTCCGGGTGCCCTTTTGCATTCGCAATTACACGTTAGCCGCGCTTCAGATCCTTTCCGGATAAACCAGCCTCGGGATAGTCAAGCCACATCACTTATCGCTCAATCACCCTCCGTGACTCGACGAGAGGAACAAACGGCGAGACAAAGCTCTGTCTACAGATGCCGTTGTCGTCGAACTGCTCTGTATTTCTCTCGGCCCTGCTACCCAGGCTCCCGGGGCTACTTGCGTGGTCTGACCCGGTCCATCGCCGTTTGTACACAAGGGAGGGGGGGCGGCCAAAAGAAACCTCGAGCGGGACGCGCGTACCCTGGACCCCCTTCCGTCCCTCGCCGTTCCCCCCATGGAGGCAGATCAGACTCGAGAAGGACGGCGACCGTCTAGACAATTTGGGCTAGTGTCATTCGATGCCCGCCCTCTAAACCTTTCTCAATCGCCTTGCTCGCTCTTGTCCGCAGGCGAGGTATTAAGGTATTGGTCTCTTTGGACAAAGGAGGGTGCCCTGGGCAGGGCAATACAACGAATCCCGGTGGGATATCTGGGCCAACCTCTATCCAGAGCCCCAGTTCTTTTTCATCCGGTCTTTTGGTTTTGATCTTGCCGAATATGCTAATTGAAGCTGGTTGATAGGTTAGTTACCTGTGGCCTCGTCCGGGGGTTGGGCGTA